TCATCATCATCATCATCATCATCATCATCATCATCATCATCATCATCATCATCATCATCATCATCATCATCATCATCATCATCATCATCATCATCATCATTATTATATTTCAATTATTAAACTGTTCTTATCTCAACCCATGAGTTTTCTTACTTTTTCTCTTCCAATTCTCTCCCCCTTCCCACTGGGGAGGGGGGAGGGTGAGCAAGTGGCTGTGTGGTGCTTGGTTGCCGACTGGGGTTAAACCACGACATACAGGTACAAAACACACTGCAGAGGACAGTGCAGGTGCCCCAGCTGCTCTAAACACAACCTTGCTGGATCTGAGTTGGTTAAAGGACATTGATCCTACTTGCTGGTCCTGAGTTAACTCCTACAGTTACTTGGATGCATTGGAAACTCTTCTAACACTCCTAGACCCCCCAAAAATCAGAAGCAATCCCAATGATACAATAGGCTACATCCAGGCTCACAAGACCTCCTGTCCCTAACCCTGGAACCATCAGTATCAGAGTGAACTGACATGCAAGAGGCCATGCACGGAGCCCCTCTAAACCTTGCGAAGCCTGAGCTACTGAGCCTACTGTGAGCTGAGCTGGTTCTCTGCAGAATCGCTCAAATGTCCTTCTTGTGACTTCTCCCTGCGACTGTCAGTTTTTACCCCATTTCAGGATATGGTGCTGATGCCATGCATAGCCAGCTCTGGTGCTCAGACCTTATTAAGCTTTGCATGGCACCCACAAATGAGCTAAAACTCCTTCTGGATCAAAGCTGGCTGTGGAAATAGCATAGGCACTTTCAGAAAGCACTGCATTGGGGTTAATAAGCTGAAATGCAGCCAGCTCATGTCTCTACACCTGTGACACAGCTGATCCACACTTCAGACAAAACTGTGCCCTGGTAATCAGAAGTTGACTGTACCTTTAAGTTGTTCACCCTGACTACAGCGAACTAAAAACTACTTACAGTCAGTCCATACAAAATGTATTCCTGATGAAACATTTCCTTCTAACATTCAGAAAGGGGTATTGCTATTATTAGGTATTTGCCTAATATTCTTCAAATCCTGTTTAAAGGTCTTGCCCACCAGAAGCCAGTGCTTGGCTAATTATTGCTGCATTTCATAATAACAGAATACACAAAGCAACACGAAGCATAGATACATACAAGTCACCAAGAAAAACAGAACTTTCTCATACAGAGGTATGCAAAGGGAGTCGTCACTGAAGTAATAAAAAGAAAATCTTAGGTGTCGTACCACACCAAAGAATTTTAATATATAAAACAAAAATTATTTGTTCCTCACACATAAAGCCATAGTAATGTTTGCATTTGTTTAAGTGGATGGAAATTAGAGAACATGAATTCAACATAAGTGATTTTAGGTCAACTTAGAAACATCATTAAACCATGAAGTAAATTGCCTGAATTATTTATGTGGTGGTGGCACTTCTCATGTCAGTAGCAGATTGGTAGTATCTCTTTAGAGAGACTAACACATACACGCAGGCCTGCCAACAAGATCACGCTACTAGTTTTGCTAAAGCTTTTACACTACTGTGACAGAAAGTCATTTAATATTAAGAGATTTTCTCAAAGGATTAACAACTTCATTTCTTTCACGCAAGTTTCTAACAACTTGCTGCCAAGCTGTTTGCATGATGCAAAGCTAAACTATAAATGCATAGACAGGTGTAAAGGAAAAAAAAAATCACTGTTCAAATTTGAGCCTCAAATAGATCTCCTACGAAACATCAAAGATCATAAAGAACACTTTATCATAATGTTGTAATACCTCCTGTAGAATAACAGCCCTATCTAAAAGCCAAAGATTTGATTATTTTCATCAATATATTTTCCCTAAGAAATAGCTATCATCAGTACTTGATTTTTAAATAACACACAGAAAGATAAGCAATTTTAAGCAATTATTTCTGTAGGAAGAAAAAGAGGGGAAAAACTGTCTAAAGAAATAGTTATCAGAGCGATGCAACCATGCACCAAAATATTTATCAAAATTGTATACAGGATGAAAACATTTAATTTCAAGATATTTACGGTTCATGAAAATTATTGAAGACTGAAAAAAAGCACAATAATTTTGCAAACATCTATTCCTGACATACGTTTTCCATCTGAGCTAAAAATACTAACCTGAGCTCTTTTTTCTCTAAGTTCCTGCTGCTGTAACCTTCTTTTTTCACGTTTCTCTTGCAATTTTTCAACCTCTTTTACACAATTAGATTTTCTACGTGCTTAAAGAAAATGATATAACTTTAAAATATATTCAGTGTGCTGTATGAATTTAGTATTTACACTGTAACATTTCAATTATATTGATGTATCAATAATTAGAATGCATTTATTTATAT